GTGTACATCACACAGAACAATATCACAGTGTACGTCACACAGAACAATTTTGAACATCACACAGAACAATAGCGCATTGTACATCACACAGAACAAAAGCGCATTGTACATCACACAGAACAATAGCGCATTGTACATCACACAGAACAATAGCGCATTGTACATCACACAGAAAAATATCACAGTGTACGTCAGACAGAACAATATCACAGTGTACGTCACACAAAACAAAATCACAGTGGACATCACACAGAACAATATCATAGTGTCATCACACAGAACAATAGCGCATTGTACGTCACACAGAACAATATCACAGTGTACATCACACAGAATAATATCACAGTGTACGTCACACAGAACAATATCACAGTGTTCGTCACACAGAACAATAGTGTAAATCACACAGAACAATAGCGCATTGTACATCACACAGAACAATATCACAGTGTACATCACACAGAACAATATCACAGTGTATGTCACACAGAACAATATCACAGTGTACGTCACACACAACAATATCACAGTGTACGTCACACAGAAGAATATCACAGTGTACGTCACACAGAACAATATCATAGTGTACATCAAACACAACAATAGCGCATTGTACGTCACACAGAACAATAGCGCATTGTACGTCAAACAGAACAATAGCGCATTGTACGTCACACAGAACAATATCACATTGTACATCACACAGAACAATATCACAGCGTACGTCACACATAACAATAGTGTACATCAAACACAACAATAGCGCATTTTACATCACACAGAACAATATCACAGTGTATGTCACAAAGAACAATAGTGTACATCACACAGAACAATAGAGTACATCACACAGAACAATAGTGTACATCAAACACAACAATAGCGCATTGTACGTCACACAGAACAATATCACAGTGAACATCACACAGAACAATATCATAGTGTATGTCACAAAGAACAATATCACAGTGTACGTCACACAGAACAATATCACAGTGAACATCACACAGAACAATATCATAGTGTACATCAAACACAACAATAGCGCATTGTACGTCACACAGAACCATATCACAGTGTACATCACACAGCACAATATCATAGTGTACATCACACAGAACAATAGAGCATTGTACGTCACACAGAACAATATCACAGTGTAAATCACACAGAACAATATCATAGTGTACATCACACAGAATAATATCACAGTGTACGTCACCCAGAACAATATCACAGTGTTCGTCACACAGAACAATAGTGTAAATCACACAATATCACAGTGTATGTTACACAGAACAAAATCACAGTGTACATCACACAGAACAATATCATAGTGAACATCACACAGAATAATATCACAGTGTACGTCACACAGAACAACATCACAGTGTACGTCACACAGAACAATATTACAGTGTACGTCACACAGAACGATATCACAGTGTATGTCACACAGAACAATATCACAGTGTACGTCACAAAGAACAATATCATAGTGTACATCACACAGAACAATAGAGCATTGTACGTCACACAGAACAATATCACATTGTACATCACACAGAACAATATCACAGTGTACGACACACAGAACAATATCATAGTGTACATCAAACACAACAATAGCGCATTTTACATCACACAGAACAATATCACAGTGTACGACACACAGAACAATATCATAGTGTACATCACACAGAACAATAGAGCATTGTACGTCACACAGAACAATATCACAGTGAACATCACACAGAACAATATCATAGTGTACATCAAACACAACAATAGCGCATTTTACATCACACAGAACAATATCACAGTGTACGTCACAAAGAACAATATCATAGTGTACATCACACAGAACAATAGCGCAGTGTACATCACACAGAACAATATCACAGTGTACGTCACAAAGAACAATAGCGCATTGTACGTCACACAGAACCATATCACAGTGTACATCACACAGCACAATATCATAGTGTACATCACACAGAACAATATCATAGTGAACATCACACAGAATAATATCACAGTGTACATCACACAGAACAATATCATAGTGTATATCAAACACAACAATAGCGCATTGTACTTCACACAGAACAATATCACAGTGTACGTCACACAGAACAATATCACAGTGTACGTCACACAGAACAATAGCGCATTGTACGTCACACAGAACAATTGTGCATTGTACATCACACAGAACAATATTACAGTGTACGTCACACAGAACAATAGTGTACGTCACACAGAACAATAGCGCATTGTACGTCAAACAGAACAATTGTGTACATCACACAGAACAATAGTGTACGTCACACAGAACAATAGCGCATTGTACGTCACACAGAACAATAGCACATTTAATCTCTCAATGTGTTGACTGTATGTATCAGTATACATTGTGCAATACAGATATTTTCTATTACTCTTTTTTGTATGAATGACATCAATAGAACCCTGTATAGTGTTGTTTGTGGTTCACCGATCTGTAAATTATAACGGATTCCTTTACCTTATTGGATTGAGCTTCTTTTTCAGCAGCGTAAAACTGGGCATCACTCTTTGCCTTTTCTTTTGCCAAATGTGTTAAATCTGAAAAAATGAGAAGGTTAGGATGTATGATCTCAAATCAAACTTCAATGCTTTTATGTTTGTAGGCAAAAGAATCAAACTGAATGGTGATTTTACTAATGGCTTTCTTGTGGTCCACTAAATTAACAGGTTAAAAGCCGGTTGAGGGCAAAAGTAGCCTGCTATTCATCATTTGAACCTGGAATATTTTCAGAATACATGTACTGGTAGGTCAACATAATAACATGTGAACATTCAACCTGCTATTCTTTTGAAGTCAACCAGTTATTTCAAAACTTAGTGAGAACACTGCTTTAGACACTTGGGCCGCATTCGTTTATTGTGATCCAAACGGTTAAACCGGTTAGACCAGAGTTGTTCATATGAAATAAGGTTGGACCTAGTAATCTGATGCTGCTTTCAGGCGAGCCTTGACAAAGACATTTAAAAACAGACAAATCCGTTGAACCAGATACGCGAAAGGGGCCCCGAGCACGCACCCCTGACTATTTAATGCTCCAGCTGAGTGACTGGAGTTGTGTGGCAAAACTCTTCTCTCAAAATACACACTTCCAAAACTTCAAGGACTAAATGCTGCTTTAAAGGCCAGTGTGTTATCCATTTGGCTAAATCAGCATACTTCTGTGCCTATGTACAACATTACCTTCAATTTGAGATATCCTTTTTTGAGACTCTTTTTCAGTTACTTTCTGTTCCCACTGAATCCTGGAAACTTCTGCCAGTTTCTCAGCCTCTACAAGACCGAATTTAACATAACATTACTAACATTAACATTACTGACCTACCTTGTCTTGAAGTGATGTGGTGAAAATTCTTTTCTGACATGTTTTTAATTTTTTGATCGAAAATTGCATATGCACAAATTCCTAAATCAAAATTTGAGCTGCTTCAGCAAAATACATGTATCTCTAACAACCAGAAAATTTCACAGAATTTTTTAATACTCATTGTTAAAATTAAAAGTAAAAACCGTTTGCATTACACTTCAACAATAATAAGCCTTTATGACGTTCGCAATAACTACTGAATTTAAATAAAAATAGAGTTGATGACAAAACCTATTGATTGATAGTATACAACATAAGTGTTTCAGAAGCAACACCGGTTTTTGGTGGCGTTGTAGATAGCCTGCTCACCGATGATGGCCTTTTTCCTCTCTGTCTCTGCCTCCTTCTCCACCACTTTTTGCTTCTGTATGGAGATCAGCAGTTTGGTCTTCTCTGCCTCCCTGTTCAGACATTAAACTGCATTACTCTATTACAACACAATAATTGTACTTCCCCACTTTGTTGGTGTAGCCTGGATAGTACATTTACCAAGGAACAGTAAGAGGTATTTTTACTAATTATTACGGATTATTACTGTATATCGTATTTTTACTAATTATTACGGATTAATACTGTATACCATATTTTTACTAATTATTACCGATTAATACTGTATACCGTATTTTTGCTGCAGTCTAATTTTTCGCCTTTTTTGCCCTAATGGAGGGCAAACTTATCACTACAGCGATAAGTTAACAACATAACAAATATAGCAATTAAATGCCTTTTTTGCCCTCCGTTGTGAGGGTGAATTTATCATTACAGCAAAAAATGTAAACTTCATAACATAAATACAGATGAACCTCGTTATCTCGACGGGGTCGTGGGAAAACTTTGAGTTATCCGAGTATTCGAGTTATGCAGGTTCTTAAATTTGGTATGACATTTGTTGTTTGGACATAGCACTAGCAGTTGTTGATTTTATTAATAGTCTATGGTTATAATCAATCGATGAATGGTATGAGTAATCAATATAACAAATACAGGTATGTTATTTCTCAATGAACACGCTAACAAAAATAGAGTAAGTTATTTTTTGTTAAACGCGATCAAAACGGTTGGAACACATTGTGAATTTGTTATTAAATATGGACAGCCTAGTTATTAAATTATTGTTTTTGATTAGTCTAGATCTTGGCAAAGTCTCTACAGGTCTACATTTGTATTTGCAAGTCTGTCAAGTTTTACTTCTGAAGTGTTATATTTAAAAATTGAATGATCCCGCTGTCTCCTACCTCATACTATACAATGCGGAAATGAAAGTGTGCAAGTCTAAAACAAATCACAGTAATGGAGCGTATGTGTAGTTGATTCTGTAAATGAAAACACACACAAAACGATTATATCGTATATGTAACACATTGATTCATTAAAGCCAAATGTGACACCTGACACCTCCTCAACTCGATGTAATCAACAGCAATTATCATATTGTTCTTAAGGCTCTCGATCGACTTTCAAAGCCATACTAGCTCCTGTAAAAACAGGAACCCGTGAAGCTGTCCTAGGTTATGATTTTAACAGTGGAACTCTTTTATGCATGACCACATTTTGTGACCAATTTTCCGGTACAGAATACTGTACATGTTGATCAACATTGATGAAGTTTGTTTTTTATTATGAACAACATGGTTTTGACAGTCCGCACACTTGAGTCTGAAGCTTTATCGTAAATTCATTATACCGATTTCATGCTAGTTTACTCACGAAAGATGTTCATAAACACAGAATTGCGAGATGTCGTTCTTTTGCGTTTTATTTGTATCAAAGAATTAATAAGTGACAAAGTTAAAATCGAACACTATGCAGAAGACGATGTTTTGATGTTAGATTTACACTATCGAAACCAATATCTTATTTCGAGGTATTCAAGTTTTTCGACTTTTCAGGGTTCGAATTATCAGAGTTTTATTTACTAAGATAAAGAAGAGGTTTGGCCGGGACCGTTGAAATACTTCGAGATAAATGGGGTTTTCAAGTTAAAATAGAGTTCAAGATAACGAGGTTTGACTGTAGTAATTCAATGTGAAAGGTGAAATTAACACTAGGTGAAAGTTGATTTCATGGGCAAACGGCAAAAGTTTGACAGGGCGAAAATTTCCCTGCATACAGTGATCAAAAGTACCAGTTCCCTACGGAATATTGTTAACTGTGATATCTCAGCAGGAGATTTTATGTAAGCCAAGGGCTAACCAGCTGGCGAAAACTTGTAATATTAACTATGAAAATAATGGTTGAGCTAGCAGAATTGTTTTCAAAATCTGCTTGTGCTAGCATTCTCAATAACAAAAGGCCCAGAGGGCCTGTATCGCTCACCTGGATACCTAAGCAATCGTGGCAAACTATTCTCCAAATGAGATCAAGGGAATATGCCAGACCTCAAGGTCAATCCTTGTAGCATAGCTATATTAGATTTTTCATGCCCAGCAATTTTATGTTTGGTTATGGGGTGGGGATCTCAACTGTTTCCAAGCTTTGACTCAGAAACTCAGAATCTAATATCGTGACTGCATTTGTCTCTTTTTGCCAAGCATTTGTATATATAGTTTTGGGGTGGGGATCTCAACCGTTTCAAAGTTATGACCCAGGGGCCAAGTCTGCAAGGGTGGGGCAGACCCTGGGATCAATTCTAATGTCATGACTGCATTCGTCTCTTTATGCCCAACAATTGTATATATAGTTTTGGGGTGGGGATATTAACCATTTCAAAGTTATGACCCAGGGGTTAAGTCTCCAAGGGTGGGGCAGTCCCCAAGGCCAACCTGGAAGCATATGT